TTCTATAAAAATAAATGCATCCCTCTCATTGAATTTTCTACCCACCTCAGCAACTGCAGAGTAAGACCTGTATTTGATTCTGGCCAGGGCACTTGCTCTTTCAGAGCCCTGGGAAGAAACAAGAGTCCAGTCAGAGAAAGTTTTCTTATTCTCTTTTAGCAATACTGAAATGCAATATCATATCAGGCGATCACTTGAGCAATATTTCATTACAGCTATAACTCCAGAATTACTTCTACATAATTAGAATGCTGACAAACTGTTACTTAGAGAAAAAAAAAATAAGTTCAAATTCCATTAAAAAAGGTAGAGTACAATTTTTGTTGCCTTCACTGTTACAAAGCCTGGGAGGAGAAAACCAAATTTTAAACTTCAAGTCTTAATAAAATTCAAAGTTGAAATAAGCAGAAAAGTACAACATGAAACAATTTTGTAGCATAAAAAAAACGAATGTTGCATTTAGTTGAAATTCCAGGAGGAAGCATTAAGGAGTTTGGCCCAGAAAGTACAGCTCTTTTCGTTCCTTACCTGAGAAAGACTTTTTATTATGAGCATTTAAGAGCTATCACAGCAATAAATGCTCACAGCTTCTCAGAAAACATGATTTAAATCAAAACCAAACAAGAAAAGCCAACCAGCCCCACTAGCTGTCCTTAGAACTTACTATGACACTATCAAGCCTTGACCTACACTGCTTAGCCTTTGATCTGAAGTCAAAAAATGAACAGATTCAGCCTGTGCAATGCAGCAAACTAGTTGAGCTTTCTTACCTCTGACTGCAGCAAAGTCTCATCTTCCTTTTTATTTTCTGTTTCATCAGTTTCTTTAGCATTTAGGAATAATTTCTGGAGGGGAAAAAAAAAAGCATTTTTCTTTAAACATCTGTCATACACAAGACAGCCAAAATACAAGAACCGTAAAAATCAAAACAAGTATTTACACACATGCACGTTTTCTTCACTGATCTTACACTGTGGCCTTTCTTTAATCCAAGAATAAGTGTTACAGAGGTATTTCATGAGGTCAGTCTAATACTGCCCATGAGTCACACCTTCAGGGATTCCCTCTCAGCAAAGGTTACGGTACCACAGAGGCAGCACCACATACAAGTCCTTTCCTCCACACCATATCTCTGCCTCACGCTTTACACATTCCACGTCTTCAGTTAAGTTCCTTCTACTTCAGTCTGAGATTTACAAGCTTAGAGGTAATCACACCAAGAAAGCCAGTTCTGACATGTCCACACAATCTGCTAAGTTGCCACAGCACAATGGTTGATATTACCCACCATTCTGTTCTGCTGCCATTCCTGATGTTCCAAGGTTATGTCTTTAAGAGTAACTACAAAGTCATCTTTTATCAAGCTCAGGGCCTTGTCTGGCTGGGACTTGTCAGCTGAAATGACGCACTTCATTTTCTGATAGTGGTCATGAATATTCATCAGTTCCTAAAATAAATTTTTAAAAAGTTATTCCAGCAATAAAGCAATATCAGTCCTCAGTGTACAAAGCCAGGGTTACACAAACCATTCTAATTGAACCAGGAGGAGTGACAGAAACAGATTCTGTTTAGATCAGTTGAGTTTTAGGGAGCCAAGCAATCCTGCTACCTAGCACTGACACACCAAATAAGCAAAAGAAGAAAGAGTATTTTGCATTATTTAAACTATGAAGGTTACTCAGGATCAGTATTCACAGAGGTTTCATTCTGATACGATGGCTTATTTTCATCTCTTTGGAGGAAGCATTTTACTTCACAGATTTTTGTAACACTGCTGATGATACACATTTGCCAGCAACCCAAGAACCTATACCTAGCTTGAATTACTGCATTTTTAATAAACTGTATTATATATTAAACAGAACCAAGTTTTGAGAAGGAGAAATAAAGGTTAGAGAAGCCTACAAACTTGCAGGATAAGTAAATTCACATTATCACAAGTATCAAGTCCCCAACTGCAACCTGCAGACATATCGAACCAAACATGCTTCCCCACATTGTCCAATTTTCTTTAAGTGACAATTAACCATTTACACCCTTCCCCTTCTACACCTTACTGAGGCAAACCCACAAAACATTAGAGCATATTTCAGTATTGAAAAAAGGTACCACAATTCTGCCAAACTGAATGCCACGTTTCTGAGTGTTCAGTAAAATTACAGGCTATTACCCTAGCCTGAATTCCATAAGAGACTTAAAAAGGACAAGACTGTGCTGATTAGAGAAGTTACAGCTCTTGCACAACAGAAGAAGAAAAACAAAACAAACCCCAGTGGTTAATCTGTAGTTTAAAAGTTTCTGTACCTCCAAAACATCATTAGTGATGAGGCTGTTTACTCTGTTACTTGGGTCCTTAAACTCTTCTTTAAATTCATTTTCCTCGATCTTCTTCTTAGTTCTGTAGTTCAGCTAAAGCAAGAGAAAATGTTTGTAACCTAAAAGCAAATTTAAAATGGCACCTCCTCTAGAGAATTCCCACTGCATATTCAACAATCAGGAGATGTTGAAAGGCATAAAACCATCTCAGCAACAACAGCACAGAGCTTTGCTGTCATAATGCTCAGAGACAGCACTTCTCACAAATTACTCCCTAATCAAGAGTTTAATCCAGCACACAGACTCATTTTCACAACTGATAACACATCTCAAAACCAATAAGAATATGAAATCCTGAAAAAATATTTTCAGGTGAGAAGCATTCAAACATCCTCTAAGCTTTACATCAAATACCTGCATAAAGCCACATATGATACTTCAACACAGCCTCAAGGCTAAACCAACCACGAGTGCTGTTGAACTGTTAGCCACCAAGAGATAAGGATATTTTACTTAAAAATGTAATTCTTTAATGCAGTAACTCACTAGCTTTGGCATCGCTGTGAAATGGAATGCTCTGGCTAATCTCAGTTTCCTGAAGATATATGCTGCATCATAATGCTGGGAGTCTATCAGCTCCTGCTGAAATTTCTGGATTTCAGGCCAGTCCTTGAGTGCAATTCTGATCTGCAACAAAGCAGTTACACACTGTTATGCCAACCTGCATATTTCAGCAAACAAAAATTAATTCAGCTGGCTACTGTGACCACGTTCTACTACAGACAATACTTGGATGTGTAAGGTATAGCACGACACACGACCACAGAACTACATTTTGTGCAGATAAACTCATTATACTGTTGGGCTAAATCTTTTCACTGCAGCTTTCTTTGATAGTGACATAGAACACAAGTCCTTTCTAACATTTGAAGACATTAATTCTTCACATTCTGAAGTGTGTGAAATAGCCTGCACCGAGGAGACCCCATTCACCAGTGATCAGAAAACTACTCATATCAAAATGTGCTGCCACTGAAATGCTCATAAAAGTATCACTCTTTTTTTCTTCCTTTCTCTTGTGTCACATCTACTCTGCCACCTCATTTTCTCTCTACCCATGTTAATTTCCTTGATAACTCATGTACTCTCTTACAGTTGCTCTATAAGCAGTGGCTTTAAAATTGCCTAAATTCATTTCCATAAAAGGTAGTGATTTCTCTGAAGTCAAGATATGAGACATCATGGCATCATTGTAGACTACTCCAAATTCAGTTTGTTATTTAAAGAATTTGGACTCCCCTGTGCACATGCACACAACACGCATCACACAGTTCCCAAGTAAACCACTTCTCCTTGCACTGAGTTTCCAAGTCCTTCAGATAGTGGTCTCCTATCCTAAAGGCACTCAGGAGACATGTCATTCAGGCATGCACCCTCCCAACCTATTTGTGAATTTCACTTCTGGTTAACGGGAACTGGAAATAATTCAGCCCTCTTCATTCTGTTGGAATTTTAAAGACTAACTAAGCCTATAATGTAGCTCACCCTACAGCTGACGAGCACATTGTCTGTCCCTACCTTTTCCAATGGAACCATCTGGTTTTAAGTACTTTTATTTTAAGAAAACGAGAGGAAATGCCCTAACCATTTATGTTGATGGAGCAGGCAGCAGTACACCACATATCTTACATCTGGTATCTGCCGAGAATAAAACCTCAAGAACAACTACCTTTTGTTTTGGCTGACAAAGCTGGGTATTATAGAGCCCATACAAAAGGTACAGAGCACCAACTCGGATCTGGAAGGCATATGGGGGCAAGAAGTACTGCTGGGCCAGTTCTAAAGTCTTCTTTGTGAGCTTGTTCCTCTCCAAGGCTCTTATTCTGCCACTAAAGCAAACAAACAAACAAAAAGCAGCATGTTAAAGCAAGCAAATATAAAACTGCAGGCTTTACAAAATCCATAATGCAGAAACAAGTTTTAGGCATTTTAAAAGCATAGAATCATTGAATGTTCTGAGTTGAGAGGGACCCACAAGGATCACAGAGTCCAAGTCCTGGCCCTGCACGGGACATCCCCAAGTTCACAACACGGTCATAGGGCCCAAGTTCTGGGGAGCCTTTAAGACAGACCTTAAGCTTTCACATATTACATTGTCTGTATTAAGTGAAGCACAAAGCGAAAAATGCAATGTCCCGCAGCCACATTTTTTAATCTCATGAGAACTGCATCCACCTCCCGGAGGAGTCAGCTCCCGCATCACACGCATTACTAATGCACGAAATAGATTGAACTAAAAATTCAGAATTGAATTCCAGTATTACACAGGGACCGATGCTCCCGTGCCATTTACTCAGACCCCAGGCAGGTAAACCTCCCCCAGAGTTAGGTAGGCCTGAGAGGGAACACGGCTCACCCACACCCCCTTTACAGCGAGGGAATCCCAGCAGCGAGGGGCCGCGGGCTTTGGGATGCGGGGAGGGATGCGGGGGGACGGCACCACTCACTGGAACACGGTGTGGAAGCGGCGCTCCCGCCACAGCTCGGCGAAGCGCTCGAAGCGGACGGTGTCGGCCTGCTGGAAGGCGCCGAGCAGCTCCTCGCAGTCCGCCTGCAGCCCCGGCACGGCGCTCATCCCGCCGCCGGCACCGCGCTCATCCCGCCGCTCCCATCCCGCCGCTCCATCACATCCCCGCACATCCGCCCCGCAACATCCCCGCGGCGCCTGCGCGGCGCCTGCGCACCGCCCGAGCCGGGAGGAGCCGGGAGGAGCCGGGAAGTCCCGGGAGGAGCGGCCGCGGCTGCTCCGGGAGGGAGCGGAGCTGGGGTGCTGGGGCTGCCCTGACCCCCCGCGCTCCCGCCGCGCTCCGGTCCCCGCGCCCCGTGTGGGGCGAGTCCCGGTCGGGGCTGTCGGGGCTGGGCGCTCGCTCGCTCGCCGCGCCCCGGGCTCTGCCCCGCTCGCCTCCGCCTCGGAGGGCGAGCCCGGTCCGCAGGCACAAAACCCCTCCGAGCAGCGCATCCCTGGCCGGTCCCCGGGGAGCAGAGGATGCTTCGGGCGGGAGGGAGCGGCGTCGGGTCCGCTCGGGCAGGCGCCGCTGTACCACAGCCCCGGGGATGCTCCTGAGCCTCGGGGCTTCATCGCCCCCCGTTTCAGTCCCGGCAGGAGCCCCCAGCACCGAGCCCGGCGGGCTGCGACCCGACGGGCTCGGGAGCAGCGGGTTCCCCACGGAAAAGGCGCCCCGAGCCGCGCTGCCGTGGGGACGTGACTCTCCGCCACGCTCCGACCGGCGGTGCCCGCCAAGGGCCACCGGTCCCTGCGCTGCCCCCCCGCCATCCCCCGGCTCTCGGGCAGGAGGGGGGGGTTGCTCGGCGGCCGCCCCCTCCCAAAAACCCCTCCGGACACCGGGGCCCGGCGGCTGCGGGAAAGCCCCGTTTCCGCCTGAGCGAGCGCGACAGGCAGAGGGGACGAGCCGGCGGCCGCCCCCCCGAGCGGAGGGATGCGATGCGATGCGATGCGATGCCGTGCCCTGCCCCGCCGTGCCGTGCCGGGCGCTCCCCGCATGCACGGCCACACGTAGGCGGCCCGGGCAGCGGGGCGGGCGGGGAGGGGGCCGCGGCTGCCGAGCCGCACGTAGGGTGGGTGGGTGCGGCCTCGCCGGCGGCGCGGAGCGGGCGGAGGGGGCTCCGCTGCCCGCGCTCCCCCGCGCACCGAGGGGCTGAGCGGACACCGAGAGGAGCCCCGGCGCCGGAGCGAGCCCCGAGCCCCCGTGAGTACGGACCCGGCGAGCAGCGGGCGCTGCTCGGGCGGTGGTGGGGTGGCTCCTGCGGGAGCCGGGGTTGGTGCCCGGGATGCTCCGCAGCCCTCCGGAGGTTCCCAAGAAGGTTTTTAGGGACGAGGCTCGGGTTTCGAGGCGGCTTTGCGGTGATCGCCCCTGCGGTCGGGGCTGGGCTGCGGGCAGCCTGCGGGTTGTGGGAAGCGGGGATGGGCAGCGGCACCTGCGCCGGGAGCGGTCTCCAGGTTTGGCAGGAGAGCATCCAAGTGCCTCTGCACCCTGGGGGCTACGGGGATGTGTTCTCGGCTGGTGGGAGGTCGCCCTTGCACGAGGGGATCCTTAACGGGTGAGAAACAGCATGCAGGGAAAGTGTGGAATAAGCATGGGATGGAGCGTGTTGAGCGTTTGGTGCCTTTGGGATATTTCAAACCTGCAGGAGTTTTGCCCAGCGACCAGGTTAAAAAGTCACACTTCGCTCTCTCAAATAGCAAAATGACTGTTAAATTCTGCTGGCTGCGGTGCCGTGGCTTCTCCAGTTCACCATTAGCATCAGCTAATTGATCCAAAGGTCGCTCCTTATGGCGAGGCACATCAAACTGTCAGCTCCTACAGTGACAGGAGCTTCCACAGAGTGCTTCAGGCACGCAAGCATCTTTCCATATTCCTTATATTTCCCAAAAGGTTGCTGGAATCCAACCTTTAGGAGCCTTTATTAGGAGATGAATGGCCATCGGGTGAACAGCTGTTGTCTGTGAGCACCACTGGTTGCCGATGTCATTGATTATAGGAACAGGAGTGTTCACAGAGCTGTTGTGTGTGAACTGGGCAGGTTTCATCAGCTGCTGGAGGAGAGCTGCACCTGCTGATGTTTGAGTTCCATTTTTGGGGTGCTTTTTTGTCCAAAAAGACATCTTCATCTTATCATTTGGATTCACGTTTGGGGATGTAGGGCAGTGACCTCATTCATCCAGTACATGACCCTGACTTCAACAGATTGTACTGATTTTAAAACAGAACGCCTGCACTGTTGGGAAAACAGATATAATGTGCTCCCCCCTCAGTGGATTTAAGGATTCAAAGCACAAGTAAGTTAAAATTGACACATTATGGAGTGAGTTCATCCTTACATACAGCTCAAGCCAAGCCCTATTTAGTTACAGGAGTTATCCTTTAATTTGATGGGAGCGGAGGAGCCTGGCTCTGGAGTGATGCTGAATTTGTAGGGCTCAAGTGTGTTTTCTGATTTTTGTATTTCAAGCATGCAATGAGTGGGGGGATTTCTCAGGGATGGCATTTCAAGAAGCATTATATGGAATTTTTACTTTTTTCCCTAAGGCAGATGGGGCTGTGTGTTGTGACACTTTGATCGTGTCAGATGATGCAAGATGTACTGAGGATGAGGCTATTGTGCCCGTGTTAACATGTGCTAAATCTTCCCTCGCAGAAAGTTTGGGTACACTGTAAGGAATTAAAATGCAGAGGAATAAAACCAAGTAACAGGGTCTCTTCATATAATGCCCCTTGTGTGGTACATGAAGTTAAATACAGTACCAACTTTTAGATTAATTAATACTCTATTTTTCTTTATAAACTGTGTTTTCAGTGCTCCTTCAGATTTTTCATTACTACATTTAAATTCTTAATTGATGCCTTCCAAACTAAAGAAAAAAAAATATAAAAATTTAGGTGATTTAAGGAAGAGTGTGCTGGTTACTGTATCTTCTTCATATTCTTATTTAACTCCTAAACAAAAGGATAAGATCCTATTTGACCTATTAATTCCTAGTTTTTAACTTGCAAGTTAAAAGCCATTTATCCTGCATAGATATACATAACGGGGTTTTCCAGGTGCACACGGCACAAGACAACCTGCTCTTTTTTTAATACCTTATATGATTGTATTATTTTATTAGATCACATTTGCAAATTGAAAACATGAAAGTAAGCCACGTTTTAATCGATTTTCATTAAAATAAATCATGGATGTATTTTATTAATTAGCATATTCCACCCTCTGTACGTGCAAACACACTAACAACAGATAACAGGATCATACTCTACTATGACAGCACTTGCACACGCCTTCTGCTCTCAGACTTCTCAACCAAGCAAAAACATTGCAAAATCTTTTTAGTCTGTGCAGTAGGAAGTGGTACTGATTTTAACAGGTAAGCAGGAGTCACAAAGTCCTTGTCAAGTTATTTGCATGTACCGACAGCAGCTGAAATCACCTGTAGACATGATGGTGTATTCAAGTGGGTTTCTGTTTTGATACTAAGGGTGTTCTTGATGTAATTACTCAAAGAGGTCTCATAAAACAGTCTCTGTCCCTCTGGCTCTGTATCTGTTGCTCACTTGCTCGCTCTCTTTGGCTTTCCCAGGGAAAACCTACACCATCCCCTATGTCCGACTTGTTAAATTCTATGGTTGACCCCTTTTGTTCATGCATGCGGTCTGCTTAATTCAGGTGGGAAAACCACCTGTCTAAGGTGAACAGGATTCAGCTTATATACAAATATCATGTTTATATTATATTTAATATAAAACACACGAATGCTTTTGTGAAAGCAACCACATGTCTGTTTGGTGCCCGGTTTTCTGACAGCAGTCGGTAAGATCTCAAACCTGCAAGGAGCTTCAGTTATTTATGCACAGTGGTTAGTTAGTTCACTTTAAAGTGGGCTGCCACCTCCATCTTTTACTACAAGGTAAAGGGACGAACAGAGAGATCACAGATGTCACAAATTAGAAACAAACCCTCTCTTTTATTGAATTTTATACCGTTACACAATCAAAAAGAAATACAGTCACAAGTACGTCAAAATGTTTCAAGAGAAATATCAATTGCAACACGTTGTACTTGGTTCCAAAAAAGAATTCCATTAAAATATACCACTTCTTCATGAGAGAATACTGCTATTATTCACAAAATCTACTGTACTGTATAAATCCAGTAGCAAACTCTTAAACTTTTTGGTAACTTGCTCAAGGTAAACAGGGAAGCAGAAGGTAAATGACAACTCATCTCTAGAATTTGGATCAAAAATCACTATTCCTCCAGAATGGAGCTTTCCAGGGAGTCAAGTGCCTAATGGCTAATAGTATTTTTAATGAAAGCTGAATACTCAATCATGTGAATTCCTATGAAAAAATGACCTTCCTACTCCTGGCCTGTGAAGTGTTTATTTTCATGCTGGACAATTACAGTTTCAATAATGTGCTTAAGTGCAGTGACATTTGAGTGAGATGTGTGCTCTGCTCAGAAGCAGCTCATCAGTGGGAATGGGAACAGATGGCTGACCTGGGGCATGTCCAGCCTGGCTGACAGTGGCAGGATGCTCCCAGCTCCCACTGCAAAAGGTTCACTCAGCAGTGTAACAGAGAACACTTGCCAACAGATACTGGTGGAAGAGCCCACAGTTCTGCCTTTAGCTACAATCATTTAGCTGTTTAATTAATTAAACAGCTCTTTAAATAATGAAAAATTACTATTAAATATGCAATAGTTTAACCTGTAATTATCAGACGTTTTTGACCCTATAGTTGTATTTCATGGCAAGCAGAGCTGATAATTTCATCCAAAAGAAGCTCCGAAGTCTTTCAATTGTCACCAGTGTTATGTGTAAATTGTTCTGTGATTCTTTAATTCAGTAATTACTTTGTGAGAGTTTAATGTGTGTACACAGACACTTAAGGAAGGAAACTTAATAGTAATTTGTTTCCATTTCACTCTAAGGTTTTCAAAGATCACCAAGGTCCAAGCCAGTTGCACCAGGTGAGAGGAAAGTATGTTAGAAAGGTGTACTTTGGACTCCAGGTGACCTTAATTTGCTCAGTATATTACACCCAAGATAAGTTACTGGACAGTAGATTTAAGTGACTGCTGGGAAGCCACAGTTGCTATTGCAACTACTTTCAGGTAAAGGAATGAAAAATATCATCATAAATACTAGTTTAAGAATTCCTTTACCTTTTAGCAAAATCATCACTGTTGAAGATTAAAACATCAATTAGAATTCTTATGTAAAAATAGTAATTGTGCTGTGCCCTGAAGAAACTCTGGCTTGACTGCTGCTGTAGTCAGGAAAACCAGGAAGCTAACTTTGTTATTCTCCTCAGTTTATCACTTCCACCTAATCTAGCATGTTCTATATGCAGGAGGAAACACTGTATTTACCCACAGTTTCTTCTTAACTACTAATGACTAAGAATAAATCATAGAACCACAGAATGTCTGGGTGGGAAGAGACCTTTAGACTCACTTAGTTCCAAGCTGCAGTTCCAGCTGCACTTTCCACTGAACCAGGTTGCTCTAAGGCCCATTCAACCTGGCCTTGGACACTGCCAGTGATGGGGCATCCACAGCTTCCTTGGGAAACCTGTGCCTGTGCCTCACCACCCTCACTGTCATGAATTTCCTCCTAATTTCTAATGTAGTGCCTCTCTACATTTATAAAAGGCAGCGAGGCAGCAAAGAAAGTATTCAAAATCAATAAGAAAACATTAAGGAAGCAATTTATTCTGGAAGCTTGTCCTCCAAAGAAGGTTTAGAATCAGACTGTGCGTTTCTGGAGTCTAAGGGGGAAAAACCTGTAGTTTAACAGGGGAAAAAAAAAAAAAGCTAGTAAAACAAACTCCCCAAAAAAGCAACTGAAAGGTGTACTTCTAGCTTTGCAAAATGGCATCTGCATTTACCAAAGCTCATGCAAGGCCAGAGCAATTACTATCACTTTTCCATGCCTTCTTCACTGTCTCTAGGAGGTCTGGTAAGTTTTTATTAAGTTAGGGTTTCATTCCCTAGAGTAAACCAAAACAGCTACTCAGTTCATCCCTGTAAACGAAATGCTGTGCCTTGTTACTGTGCACAGAAAAAAAATGTGAGAGTTGGGAAGATTCTTAGATGAAACATGGCTCTGTTAAATCCACAGCTGCTGTCACTAAGATCAGAGATGATCAAGGCAAGGTTGGGTGGGGCTTTGAGCATCTTGGTCGAGTGGAAGGTGTCCCTGTCCATGATAGTACTGTTGGAATGAGATTAAAGTCCCTTCCAACCAAAACAGTTCTGTGATTCCAGCAGGCTCACAACCACAAATCGTGGGTCATTCCGTTTTCCTCCTCTTTTTAACATGGATTTTTCTCTATGAAAACTTAACTGCCCCCTTAAAGTACACTGAAGAGGAACTGACAGATCCAAGCAGGTCAGGTTCCTCCAAAATACGGTCAAGAGAGCAGCAGAACACCATCAAGCAGGATGGTGTGGCATTTCTCTTGGGAGATGCAAAGGGATAACCCCCCCAGCCAGCTCAAAGCTTGTGGGGGCAGTAGAAAAAGTGGAACCCAGCTGCACTTTCACCTGCGGGGACTTTAGCCGGACTTCACTGTTTAAACTTTTTAACTGCTGATAGAGAAAGAAATGCCATGGAAAGAATGCCAGCCCCGAGACCCCGCACAGCAGGCAGGCCGGAGCTCTGCTGCTTCCAGCCAGAGAACTTTGTAAGCCTTATGGGCTGCATTAAAAATCTGTACTATTCAGTGGCAGGTGTATGTAGTGAAAATGTTCTCTGCACCAAGCGTCAGCTCCAGCTGAGTGCCCCTACACACTCTATCCTCTCTGTGCAACTTCTACTCAAAATTGTAACATGTGTGTAACCACCTGATGCTGCCAATGCCTTATCTTGCTAAGAGTGTCCTTTTGGTTCAATACAGTTGTGGCAGTTTGCAAAGTGCATCTTTCAGTGAAAAAGTCATTTTAGAGAACAAGTTAAGCTTATGTACTATTATACTGATTTCACAGCAGTGCAGTGAAACCAAAGTTTACAACATTAAACCAAAGTAATTCCTGTGACACTCCACAGTTGATTACTTACAGCATGATAAGTTTTTTTTTTAAATAGTTTGGCAAATGCACAGAATATCTTGACCATATTTACACAATACAGGGTTATACCAGTAGCATCGTGTTTTATGACACCAAACTAAGAAAAGTCACCGAGTCAACAGGACAAGAATGCAGAATAAGTTTTATCAAGTACCAGCTTAAATTTTTCATCACGGAGTTTTGTGATAAAATCCCATCTTAGATCGATTCACTCCTGCGAATTTGACTTTTTTCCTGCTTTCCTGTGTTACCTTGATAAAGCTTCCAGAGACAAGCCTTCAAGCTGTTCATAAAGGTGAACCTTTCTGCTCTACAGTAACACAAATATGCTGCCTCCTCGCTTTCAAGTTTGCTCACTGGTGTGATAACAGACTGAGAAGTGTAACGTCTTTGGCGAGTGGTAGTACAACACTGTCTAGGAGCACTGAATAGGCCCAAATAATTAACGCAGAGATGTTACAATCAAAACAAGGAAGCAGTGATTTCCAATCAACTCTAAGTTAAAAAGGGAACACGGATGAACAATAACCACTAACAAAAATATAAATTATCTCATTTCTCTCAGATAACACACTCCCCAAGGGGGCCTGGTCCACATATAGTTTATTGATGTAAGAAAACAATACAGTTAGTGTTAGATCCAACCACAAAGAGCAAAAGAATGAGTGAATGAAGGTTTTGTACAGTACATATAGGAAAATAAGATGTTTGTGACAACTATATATTTCTAAATAAAAAGGCTTCTAAATATATTCAAGTTATTGAAATCTACATGAAAACATATGGATGTTAATAGCAACAAGGTGCATAAAACCAAAACATCAAAATATTGAGCAACTCAATGTTGTACTAGATAAAAGTCTGCTAACAATGCAAGATGTTTTACAATCTGCTTGAAATATCACCTATACCACACAGGGTAAGCTGAACATTTAGATTTAAGATCATACACAATATTAGCATTAACTTCAACAACTACAGGCAGGGATTTTTTTTTTTTTTTTAAGCTGGCAAAGTGACTACTTTAAGAACATCAAACTTTCTCTAAATTGAGAACATATCCAAATAAAATGCTGCTAGCCCTTTCCAGATAAACCCTTTCCTTTGACTAACCACACTCATTGAAGTCAAAAGCGTAAGACAGCATTTAAGAACAATTTATATTACAACGTGACTAAAATAATGACATAATCCAGGTTTAAACATGTTTTCATAGGCAAACAAAAGATTCTTCTTAAAAACTAGTTTTTATAAATGCAGAATATATTGCATGAGGAACTGCTGGTATTTTTTAAGAAAATATATTGTGCGATTGTGGCTACAATGCACTGCTGCAAAGCATTGTTGTTTCTTATAAAAACTATTAAAATAAAAAACTTACTTGAACGTAAAGAGTAAGAGAGCACAAGTCTTCCAACTACCTATGAAAAGCAGCATGGAAGTATTGCCAGTTTTTCCTGTGTTGACATTTTACTAATGATAAATTTTGGTGACCAACTCCCCAGCCAAAAAATAAATTTTTTTTTAAAATTAGGTGCATATTTCAAAGCTGCTATTGCAAGTGTGTTTTAAATGTAATGGACTTAAAAGTGTATGTACCAAAGAATTATAAAAATGCACTATAGTTTGAGTTATTGTTACATAAAGAACATATTAAAAAGACTGTCAAAATAAGTAGAAAGGGGATCAAAACTGAACTAACTGAATTAGTGCAGTACTGTAGCCAGGCTTCTAAAATCAGATATAGAAAATATAAATAGACTGCTTTAGGTGATGATTCACCAGTGTCCAAAAAAGGAACAAGTTTTGTGAAAGCTCAGTTAACTTGATCCAGAGCTCTGAGCAGTTCTTCCCCCTGTAGCAGGTTTCTGTTGCCTTGTATGGGAGCGTTTACTTCGCAGTCGTAACTCGTGAGTTGGGGGAGTCCACTCTCATCCATCGACTGCCCTAGAAGTTTACTTGCTATGTCTAAAGAGGGAGGGGAAGGAGAAAAAGTGCACTTTATTCACCATGCTTAACCTCTCCTCCAGAGCTGTTCATGGGGAGCTAAGTTTGGATAGTTTTGGCCACTCAGTTCTCTTTCACACAGTCCCCTCCACCCCCGCTGCCTGTTAAAGGAAGATACCAACCAGTTGATAGTAGAATGATTGTCTTTTGCTCCACTCCATTATGACCATTTGTTTTGCATCCCTTTACACGTTTCCAAGCAAGTGATGCATTTCCTCCACGGTCTCCTGTCTGCTGGAATAAAGACCCCTAGAAAAGAAATAAAAGCAAATCTTCTTCACTGAATACTGTATCTTTCTATCCCTCCACATCCCTCTTCCAAATTAACAGTTCCCGTCACTAGTTACTAATGTAGGCATTGTTACAATTTGAAGTGGACTTTGTTCAGAACTTGGGGAGAAATATATTTACAAGCACACTAACCTTGAAAATTACTTAAATGAAAAGTGAATCAGATTTCAAGACCTTACTTCCCTTACAGAAAACAATTACTAAATCCTGGTTATCACCAGTTACCACGCACGCTCAAGATTAGCGTGTACATGTACACATACACACCCCTTTAATTAGCACTGCTCTGGTGTGAGTAAGCATCAGGTTTTCACGGGACTCTCTAATGGTTTTCTACACTGGAATTAACAGTGTATAGACAGGAGATTCAGGAACCTCGGTAGGTCGATTCTATCTAAATTTAAGATGTGAATTCTGCTTGCACTCCAGTTATTGCCTTGTGGGGAATGCAGTCCTAAGCCAGTCTACTGCAGATATGGCTCCTTAGCATATTGTTTTGACAGCAGCACAGAAGACATGGGTATTAGGAAGCTGTAAGGGCTTCATGTAATTAGGATAAGGAAGAAGCAGCTGCCACTGAAACAGATGGAAGGAAAAAATGCAGTCTTAGTATCAAGTTTCCTGGCAGAAATAGTTGAATCTGCAAAGTTTGGTCTTGTTAGTACTACTGACTGCTGCAACAAGAGGAAAAGGTATTTCAGAACCCTGCCATTACAGTCAACACTTAAAATAGTAAAGAGCATATTTTCAGATTATAAAACACCCATGCAAGTCAAGAGAACAGATGTATAATAGAAGCTACAGTTTACTCAGAAGCTGCAGTTCATACTGAGGTCAGTCACCTACATTGTCGCTGGTTCACTTTTTTATTGTGAATGCAATCCAGACCTTCATATTAAGAAAGGTACAGCTCATAACTGTTCCAGTGTAATGATTTAGAACATTATTTTATAATCAGACTATGACACACCTTGCCCTTGCCTAATTCTCCTGTTTCCTAGGAAGCTAAAATAGTACTTTGGTCTTCACTTATTTTGACTCTTTGCAAAATACGTCCTGCTTCCCTAAAGCTAAGAAGTTGAGCCAAGTGTTTGTACAATTCCAGAATAGCATGTATCCTAAGCCTAGATTTAACATCATTTTTCTTGTGCATATGTGAAAGGCCTGTGTATCCCTCTCAGAAATCCATTCTGAAGAAGGAAGCCAAACAGCAAAAGCACTTTCTTAAAATAACATCAGTAAGACCCAGCTTCATGGAGACTCATCTTCTGAGAAACCATCAAAATATTTACAACAGTTCTGTCAGATACAGAAAAAAGGAAAATGTTTAGCAAAGGATGAAGTCTGAACCTGTCAGCATTAAACTGGCACTAAGCACAGATGACTGAGAACTGTTACAGCAGTTAATACTGAACTGCTTGTGTTCTGTGTATTTAATGACATCCCAAGCTGTTTCGAATATTTTGTCAGCCACACTGCAACAGCTGTAGCACCACTGCATGAGCAAAGGGCAGTGGAAGGCAACAAAATTTCTTGCAGAGCTATGAATTCTAACAGGGCTTCTGGAAGCAACAGAACAACATGCATGAAAGTGCAAAGCATTTAGCAAATGAAAACAATCGCCTAATTATGATTTTACAAAAAAAAAAAAAAAAAATGAAGTGTTTGCCTCATAGTAAAATTGGACATGTAAAATCTTTCCCAGCTCTTTTAGAGGACAGCAATGATAAAGACAACATAGAGCGATTCATCTCATGCCCAAAGCAGAATACTAGCACAGGAATAATGCATAGTTCAGAGGGAAAATAATCCTGCACTGTAAGACATAATGGGTGACTACAACTAGGAGACGGATGGGCAACTAGAGAAACAAAGAATCTCAAAGGATACATTGCAGTAGAGGAAGTAAGACTTAACTGTGCGAAACTTAAGAAGGGGGAATTTGCAATGAAGGCAAGAAGAGAGAGAACAGTGTGCAGTGGCAAAGCTCAAAGTTTCAAAAGACTTAAAACTGACAAAACTGTGAGAGACAAAGATTATGGAGACAACAATATCCCTGCAGAAGATAACAAGCTGGACAACCCCTAATTAAGTGACACAAATATAAGAATATCTAAAAAGTTTCTTTTGAATAGTTAGGACAGATGATGACGACCTACTGCAAAATTCACACACACTAATACTAGAGAGAGTGTGCATGGAAGAGAGTGGTAGTAACAGACATTTGCTAAGTTATTATAGGAATTCTATTCCCTCATGGTTCAGATGGTCTTGTTGTCTCATTAAGTAAAGGAATCTCAGTCTCAATGGAAAAATGAAAACATAGGAAGAAGCATAAGAACACTATCTCTGGTATCGACAAATATGAAAACTGAGTTTCAATTCAAAAATTAAATAAATACAGCAATTACACATTTCAATGTGATGTCTTATATTTGTGCATATCCTACTGAAGAGCACATATGTTCACAGAAGAGTATCTTCTACCTAATCAAGAAATGTGCTTGAGTGTAGAGGGCACTTTTGAAACAGGTGACAGTAAGACAACTAAAATTGGAGTATTTGCATAGATATATGTATATAAATTTCACTATCAAACAATTATGTCTGATCCCAAGATTCCATTGCTTATCAACAGCTCAACTCAGGAGTCTGCAGTGATGCCTCATTTCAGAAAGGGAGGTTCTGCAAGGTTAAAAGGGAATATTTTAAAATGGTAAAACAAAACTCACAATTCCAACTGCCTGAAAAAGTGAACCATCATGTTCCATTTTTCGTTTTCTCTGAGCATTATGCAAAGCTAGCATCTTTGGATTTAGTTCTTCATCCAGTGCAGTAGATCTAAGAAAAATTGATTCAGGCTGTTAAGACGTTTCTACTCTCCTCAAGCCATTCTTCTTTCATGGACACTTAAATATACACATCATCACAGAACTGAATTTAAGAACTCTACTACTTTTTGTTCATAAATTGACTCATTTCAACAATCATTGTCTATGAGCATAGAAAACGTTAGCTTTTAATCTTGCCTTGAAGCTCAGAATGAGTTTTAACAAAAATTTTTTAAATCTGCAGGATAAAAAAAGCGTAAAAGTTCATCAATTTACTTCTGAAAGAAGGGAGGGAAGGGTGAGGGAAAGTCTCTTCTGAACATTTCTATGTACAGATAAATCTTTTATGCATCATAAAACTGATGTTTGACTTTATGTAGTTTTCTATCGTGGTAAATGTCTGCCACAGACACCACAGTCCATCACTGTAAAATATGGCTCATTTTAAGAGCAATAAATCTAGGACAGACTGTAGCTGCCCCTTACTTCTAACAAAGTGGACAAGGAAAGCACCACAAATACTGTGTGGGTGCAACTACCTACAAATTGCCTACTGCCTTCTGGTAGAAAGGCTGCACCATGTCAGGTACAAGGCAGAACAACACTTGAACAGTCTGCATACAGCAGCCGCCTGTTACATAAGGTGCTTATGTAAAAGCTACCATGAAATTAACTTCAGGGAGGTTTACTATAAAAAACAAAAACCAGACTTGTTTGAAGCGTCCAAATTTAAATGTATCGATTCCTGCTTTGAAGCAGAGTGCTGAAGGCAACATACAACACACGGCAGAATTTATAGGTGTACTATTATCTAGTTCCTTGAATTGATACTGGGGCTTAAGCTGCGCTTTTAAAATACCTTTTATTCAGAGTGACTGTTAGCAAGCTGGGTGCTCCCGGAGAAGGTTTTTCCGTCTGATCCACTGTTCCTTTCCCTGCTCTGATTGGAGAGGCGGTTCGACTCCTGTTCCCACCGTAAGGTGACGCCGGGGCACTACTCGTTTCGCTGCTCACGTGCACAGGAGACGAGGGGACGATTATTGTCTTCGCGTCGTCCGGACGTTCCGCCGCCGGTTTTATCTCCTCAGCAGGACTTGGTGGCGTCTGAGTCTGCTGAAATATGGTAATGGTGGCTGCACTCTGAGAGCTGGAAGAGCTGCTTTCCAGCGGAGAGAGCTGATCAAAGGATCGCAGCTGGAAGTCATCATCCATCGGGATGTAAGGAGCCAACATCTCCAAATCTAAATCGGTTTCCTGGGAAAGACGAGACGTAAAATTTATAAATATGGAAGAAATCTGAGCTAAGGCTTCATGGCTTCATCAGGGCCCTTCCTTTTACCAAATCGCTAAGTACTTTTTTTTGCACTTTAATAAAAATATTACATAAGGAATGAAGTTCCTGAAGACGTTCTCAGGAGAAAAAGAAGCACATTCAGAATAAGCATGGTGAGGATGAAGAATTCGAAGTTACTGTACACTTTACCTGAGTAGAGAAGGGATTTTTTGCTTCTGTATCTATGGCAAAGAGTTTCTCCACTAATTCCAGTTTGAATTCATTCGCCATATCATTATCCACGTCAAAGCAGTAGTCGTTGGGACTACTGGGCTGTGAAGATATTTTGAGCACAGTTTTAGGTTTCTCTCATTACACCATTTTGCGCTTTTATCTACAGATTCTCTGAAAAACATTCTAATTTAATTTCAAACTTAGCTGCACAAAATTCAAATGGGGGGGGAAAACACACTTGTCTGTATACATTCAAATTTACCCCACTGGGGAAGCACTTGCCTAGCTGAAACCTGGAAGTAGCCTCTACAGTAACCTATTACAACTATTTTGCTGTTTAGGGAAGTTGGGTCTGAATCACTCTCTTCTAAAAAAACCAATCCCAAGCTCTCCTCATTTCTATCAGATGGTACTGCATGTATTTGCAAGGCTTACTTTAATGAAAAGATATGAAAATTTATCTGTTTCCTCAGATCATGGCATGAGCTAAAGTCACAAGGTAGAAACAATTCCCAATTCCCAGCCTGGCTGCATCCTTACCAGATTTGCCCCACAAGCCCCAACAGCACATACATTTTAATGACAGCATACCCAAATTACGAAACTAACCTCAGGTGAACTTTGGCTGGTACTTGCATCAGAAGGGCTGGTTGGTTGCTCTTGCACCTGAGGCATGGTAAAAGAAAGTTCGAGTGGCTCTGTGTTTGGCTCCAGCTTTAATACAACTTCTCTATTGAGTGCAGGATCAGCATTGCTACGAAGTGGCTTTGTGGTTTCAGAGGCAGGTAGTGGGGACATTGCCATATTTATATTCTGCAATTTCTCACTGGATGAGGGGAGCATTACATCATTATACAAAGGAACTTCATCACATTGTTGTTCATCAGACTCTATAAAAATTAAAAGAAACCATCAACCTAAGTAACAGTACTGTGCGTGTCTACGGACCTCATTACATTTAAATAGCAGCAGAAATACCACTGGGCAAGTGGTACTGGGAGGTTATTTTTTGAAATCTACTTTAAAATACTAACTTTGCTAATTAGCATGCTCTCCAATTTAAACACACACCCACCATTACTGCTGAAATCTAGAGAGATAATTGTGTCTCCAGCAGCTGGGGCCAGCACAGTTAAAGCATCTGGTTCCTGTTTAAGTTTTTCAAAGAGGCTGTTGGTATCATCCAGGTCATCTTTACTGAATATTTTGGTCATTTTCATATCAGGAGACTCCACTGGTTTCAGCATACACTCAGTTTGTCCAAGGGAAAAAATTAAGTCCTTCTGAACAATTCCACTGTCAGACAGAAAGATGATTGTTAAAGCATGGCTAAAAGAAATAAACTTTGGCTTAACAGTTTTATAAGTGGAAACCCACCCCCTCCCCTAAACAAAACAAAAAACCCCACCACACACATCCCACAAAATTACCAGAGCTTTAAAAATTCTTTTTTTCTTACTCCTTCTTTCCTCAAAAGTAACAGACAAAGCAATTACTAATTGTAGGGCCATCAAAAATAAGCAACAAAAATAAACATGCTTTTCTGAAAGCATTAAGGAAGACAGAAAAAAAAAAGGAGGGGGGAAAGTTAGATATTTCCTAAGCTACTTTTCTTTGTTTTAAATGAATGTGCAATATCTTGATAGATTGATACTGGTATATTTATTGAAGTTTTGAAAAGCTAATTTAGGACTATTATACAGTTGCAGAAAAACAGTCAACAAATCTGCTTTGAGTTGAAGCTTTCAATTAAAACAGGAATTCTAAGGAAGAAAAAGATAAATGGGATTACAAAAGGCACCATTACTGCTGCTCTGACTCCGTGACTACAAGTTATTGGTGGAATTAACTGCTCAGACAAAGATTAGAGAGTTCTTTGAGCACACAAATGCTCAAATGCTTACAGTGAGACTGTACAGAAGAGGCTGGTCCTGCACTCAGCACTACATCCAAAACGTGTTTTGTTTTCAAATATAATTTCTAAACCTTAGGACTGGCAGTATTTCTAAGCAAAAAGTAATTTCTGTTGTAGGGAACAGTAAAACTATAATTTATTCAACAGGGGATGGCATTCTCAGGAATTTGAAAAAAAAAAAAAAAAAAAGCAGTTCCATCAGAACCTGACTTTATCTTCAATAAAGCTTATGGCAAAGAACATCGAAGTCCACTCAACTTACCTCAACACATAGTTTACACACACTATGCACTGTGGCTGAGAATTCTTAGTGTTGTATATAACAGTTGCTTGAGTTTCAACCCAGACATAGCCACCTTGTTTTGCCAGCATTCTGTACTGCCCTGTTGTCACCTGCCCTTTTGTGAACACTAAAAACAGAAAGGACACCAGCTTTAATTACAGACAGAAAACAACCAAAATCATTTAAGGTAAATATTCATTGCAGATTCATATATGCACTTTAAAAAAAAAAAAAAAGCTCTTGTTCTTCTGCTGCTTTCACCAGTGCTGTCTCTCTCATCCCCTGTAGTTGGAGGACTTGAAATTCACTTTTCACTTACTGTCGTGGTGTGTTTTGGTCAGATGATCAGAATCCAGTGCGTGATAGTACTCATAGATTGAGCGGCCCAGGAGCTCCTCTGGCTCATACCCCATCAACTCTGTAATTCTTTAAAACAAGGGAGAAAATGACTATGTAAAAGCAGACATGGACAAGCACAAATACTAGAGCATGTGGATGCTTGCACATCTAAAAAAACCCCTAAGAGTCACTTCCATGTACATCAGCAGCAACCATGGTTTACCAGGACTTTTCATTTTGAAATAAATTGCTATTTTTATGCTTCTTTAAAAGAGAAATTTCAGCAGGCATAGGATTCTACTTCTCACTGAGTATTTATAGAGGGATAGGATTACACAAATCCCTGCTTTCTAGACACTTGTAATTTTTTTCTGCTTCAAGGTAGACCAGCTACTTACAGACCGGTTTAGGCAAATATGAGAATTTAATAAAATAACAACGACGGGCTTCAACAGTTTTAAACCTGCAACTAAGAGAGATTAGAAATCAGATTTACTCTTCCCCCTCAAACACTGCCTGCTTTTAAGGAAAATGGGATTTCTTCAGTCTCTAGAGGGCAGTGCTAACCAGGGCAGCGCTTGTATTTTGCCCCATTCTAGATGCAGAATGTGACCAAATAAGTACTAGAAAGGTAATTCCTGCAGAGGGGAGAAAAAACCTGCACTAACCTCTTTTTGTTTCTAATTGCAGCAACTAACTAGAAGTTTACTTTTGTTCTAAAGAAAAGGAAACGGGCAGTAACAAATAACACCAATTAAATACAAACAAATGAAACAAACAAGTCCCAAACAATAAAAAACCTCAGGGCTGATTATTTCCTTCACCTGGGTTTATAAAATTTGTCAAGCTAAGTGTCCAGAGGATAGCAAAATCAGTCTTTTGTGTTTGACTACACACCCTGATTTGTACCAAAACACAAAAATCTCATTTTTCAACAGCAGATGTATTGCATTAAAAATACAGCTGAACTTTTGGGGGTTTTTTTGACTGAAGAAAGCAGACACTGATCTCCTGAAGAAGGGAGAGGGGAAGCAATAGCAATAAAATGCGCCTGACAAGTATTACACACACACTCTTTTCAGTCACCTAAATGTCCCATATTTGAGAAACCTAAAACCTTCCTGTTTTTTCAGTGTCTGGAAGAATCTTCTCATTTCAATTTAATCACTGTCCCTGTAGTAAAGACCAGTTTGAAAAGGCAATTAACTGAAGGCAAAGGATTTATTCATAGAATCACAGAATGGTTTGGGTTGGGAGGGACCCTAAAGATCACCTTGTTCCAACTCCCCTGCCCTAGGCAGGACACGGTCCACTAGACCAGGCTGCTCCAAGCCCCATCCAACCTGGCCTTGAACAAACCCTGCATCGTCCTTAGATCTAAAAATCTCACTTTTAATGAATCCTGAGCATTTAGTAAAAGCCAAAGTATCCCACTAGTGATTCCACTGTGGAGATGAATCGAGTTACCAAGAAAGACTACGTAAATGTATAAGGCAAGCATCAGCCAGATTAATTTATTTTTTTAGAGTATAAATCATATATATTACCTTTCATCACAATAGGAAAATTTCATATCAAGACTGTGACGACTGAGGAACGTTTTACTGTCCAAGGGGACCTCAATGTTTGACGGATGAGGAATAGGTTCACAGATCAACACCAGACACGTCATGGGAGGCTTTTTGTAGCCGCAGTGAGTTTGGTTACCACACGTGTCGTACACACGGATGTGCCCAGTGCAGTGCAGCACCTACGGGGAAGTTGTATTTTAAAGAGAGAAGAGGTTCTTGCCCGCCAGACAACACAACCATATTGCCATTAGCACACCAGAGCAAAGTCCTTCCCTCCCCAGCCCTCGACGTGATAGCAGCCCGAGGAAGGAGCAGTGCTGGGGGATGGATGGAGGGAGGGATGGCTACAGGACAGCAGTCATTCTCCTCCCCACACCACACAGCCTGTGATGGGCACACAGGCTGTCAGCTCCTTCCCCTCAGTGCTGTGTGAGGCAACACCACACGCTGCTGCATTTCTGTGAACTGCTGCTTTTTGAAAGTTACAGTAATGACACTGATAAGCAACTGCCTCAGCAAAAAGTATCTTGCTGTTTGAATTTGAATGTTATGGTAATAGCAGCAACCTCCATTTTAGATCTTCTGCAGAAGTGATGTTAAGAATCCAGTATTTCCTTCAAAAGACAGGAAGTTTTGCATTTTGTGGGGTTCTCTTTTAACCATTCTGAAGCAGAACTTGTTCACAGACAGCAGCAAAGAAGTTGTTTGATCCAGAATAATCAAATTCAAGTTATAAAAGAGAACTGTGAGCCATAATCCACTCGATACAGTAAAAGGTTACTTTTTGTGCAGAGGAGAAAATGCATTCACTGCAGAAAGTTATCAGGCTGGCCTCTTTTTGTTCCAACTGTTACAAAAGGGAGAGCCAGCAGCTTGAAAAGAATGGCATTGAAGTCCTTCAGAGAGACCTCAACTGTCACATTTTCAGTGTCAAATCAAAAGAAATCAGGGATCAGCATAAGTGGTGTCAAGTATTTTTTTCCCAGAGAAGGCTTTATGCAAACATATTTAGTAATTACAATTCTTTGTAAGTAAATTACCTCTACCGTAAAATGGAAAATTCATTAGAAGAGTTTTGAAAAACTAATTTTGAAACATTGTTTCGGTTACCTCTGTGATGTATTCAGCATTAAAATTCAGCATATTGAAGCACAACCATTAAAGTACTTAGTGAAACTCAAGCTCGTTACATGAAGTAAAAATGTTGAAATGTAGTGTTGTGACACCTGAAGAGGAAGCTGCCAAATTATATAAATACTCCTTTGCATTAGTTACCTTCCACGTAGCAGACTTTATATTCACTGTTCTTCCCCTGCTAGTCAGTGTACATTTCATTCTGAGAAAAAAGCTGCGCTCCGTGTTTTGCTCTTTGCCCTTTTTCACAGGACCTGGCAAAAGCAAACAGCAAACCAGTTCTTAAGCTCCTGGATCATCATGGTGTAAAAAAAAATCCCCAAGCATGTTAGAGAACTCTAAGTCTAGGAGAAGACTCACAAGATAAACTAAAAAGATTGATAAACCTAACAGCATTTTTGATGATAATACTTTTCAGAACAAGTTTTACTATCATGGAGATGAGAAACCTGAAGTTTCATAGCATCAAAGAATGGTTTGGGTTGGAAGAAATCAAAGATCATCTAGTTTCAACAAACATGCCACTAGACCAGATTGCTCCAAGCCCCATCCTACTTGGCCTTGAACACTTCCAGGGCAGGGGCAGCCACAGCTTCTCTGGGAAACCTGTGCCAGGACCTCACCACCCTCAAAGGGCAGAATTTCTTCCTAATATTAATCTAACCCTGCCTTCTGTCAGTTAGAAGCCATTCCTCCTTGTCCTGCCATCTTGTTCAAAGCCTTTCTCCAGCTCTCTTACAGCCCCTCTCAGCCTGTCCTCACAGGAGAGGCTTTTGCAGCCCAGTTTCAATGTTTTAAGATCAGTATTGTTTCTGTAGCCAACTCCAAGCTCACAGATATCAGGACAAAGGGATGGGGAGAAAAGACTGACGGAAAATTTAATATTCTTTAATGTTGTGGCAATGGACAAAAAAAGCACATGCAGAATGAGGAGCCCCGCTGAGTTCCTTTCCATTGAAATGCATCAGTAATTCAGGGTCAAACCAAATACCTTTTGGGCCTGTAGCTCTGCAGGACTGCAGTAGCTTTAAATTTTTCAATTCAGAACTAACAATTCTGCTGTTTACATGCATCCAAATACTTCCATGGTAATTTACATTCTTGGAGTAAACAGGGACAAGGTTTTTAAACACATTATTATCATTCTTGGGCAGAAAAAAAAAAATCAAGAAACCCTAATAGAAACCAGTGTTAGCAGCAGTAATTTCTTTAGCTCTACTTGCTAACAGCAGGCTTTACATTAAGATTTTGCTTTTACAGGGGAGATCCTTTCAGAGTCAATTACTAGTCACGCTGTTGTGGGCAGAGAAAATGTACCTGATGGTATCAGGAGAGCTGCAAGCAGCTCACAATGGGTGGAAGAAGGAAATAAAGCACTCAGGAGAAGGAGCAGTGGGAGAGCCAGTTTGCTGAGGCTTGCTAAGGAGCAAGGACCGAATCGTGGCAGAGGTGGAAGTTTAGAACATATGACCTTGCTTCTGGTGCAAGTTCATACAGTAATTTGCTCTCATCCTCCACAGATAATAGTAGCTATGAAATTTTTCTTCAGGGTGGCTTGCACTGCAGCTACTAGTTTGACAAAATTCATTAGAAAAACATTAAAACCCCAATACCTACATTCTCTATGGCTTCTAGCAGAGGCAAGGACTAACGGGGTCAAGTCCATTTTAGGCCACATCAAAATATCATCAATAACGGGACAGGGGAACTAAAGCAGAGTTCACAGAAGCAACCAAAACTTCTTTAATTCAGTATGTTTTAAAAGGGTTAAACCAACCTAGAAACTGATAGTTGAAGAGCACACAACATTATTGTTACCAAACCCTGATGTTTAAGGCTCTGCTTCATAAAGCAACTGTAAAAAGATGGAGCAACTTTCTCAAGTCTGATTCATCATTGGGGATTATTTTTTAAAATCACCAGCTTTGAAAGTTTAAAAAGCAGTTTCATAAAATGAGAACGCAGTTCTGTTTCTGCCAATCACATTCATATTCACTTGCACTCATAAATCCCAAAGGGGAATATTTAATACTCAATTCAAAACCAAAATAATTCCACTGATGTAAGAGCTGCAGTAGAACGCAACCTGGGAATACTAATAAATATAAAAATGTACTATTATTACTGTAATTCAGACTTTTGTCTGCCAACTTCATTTGCAAAACAGCTTTGGTAATAATGCTTTCCAGACATCTTATTCCAGTCTGGCCAATTTAGACATGCTAGAGCTGGGTTTGCATGAAAGTCAGCGAGACGACATTTTTAAGAATAAGCTTTTGCAACAAAACCAGTTTTTTTAAACTGCTTTAGGGAAGTTGTTTCCCCAGCCCCAAGACTGCATTACTGTATTCCAAAAGTGGGGGCTGGGGGGAATCTAATCTAGCCTTAGATATATATTTCAGTATTAGAGGCAGACAAGTTTACAAAATGCTTAGAAAAACAAAGTCAGGGCCCATAGTGCTACGTTATCTTATCAGGTCTCTTCCACTCAATTAGTAGGATGACAACATAAGACTTCTGATTTACATGAAAGCAGAGGTCAGGTTTAGTAATTCATCACTATCTGGATTCAGAGTCCATATAACCCCTGTTTGATAAAACAGAAATTAGAGAGGTCGGATTTTAGACTTGTAACTACTGAGTAAAGCAGAACTGTTGGGAGGCACATGGGCTGCCAAGACTTATAGTCATTATCAAATCTTTAGAAGACATAAAAGCAGTAATTCATGGGCAATAGTTAAATTCAAAGGCATACAGAACACGTGAACACGGTGTGCTGCTCCCTCAGATGGAGACAAGGAGAGTCAGAAGTCTGTGAAAAGATACCAATTTCATGCACCAATTAAAGGGTGCACAGAAGCGTCAATCCCAAAGCCCTTTCTGGGGTTGTTCAAGTCTTCCCCAACTTGGTTTTTGCTTCCTGAAGTTCAAATACAGTATCTTTTTTGTGTCTTAAGTATATCACCACACTTTTCTGGAAGAAAGCATTTGCTTTTCAGTTGTCCTGTAAAGGCAAGCCCAGACCAAGACAAATGCACCAACTGAACTTCTCCATGTCCTTCTACAGTAATTGCTTAAAATCGTTCTCATTCAACCTACCTTTAATTTTATTCCTGTAGGCACTTGAATTCTTTCAACCCTCAAGAACTCTATTTAGTCATTAATTTTGTTAGATTAAAGAGTAATAATGAAGTCTCATTTCTCCTATAATTAGGATATTGCCAAAACATTTTGGTTATTTCTGTTGTATCTCTCAACAAGGTTTACCTTGAGATTTAAGCAGAAAAGCACACTAGTTTGTTCACTCAAAACCATTTTCTGGCAGATATCCAACTGTATTAATGCCAACAGGAACTATCCACATGTAAATTAAATTGACTTATTTTCTTTTTTTCTCACCATTTCTGTGTGTAAGCATTTCTCTCAGCTCTTCATGGTCACATGGATGAGTGAAATCAAATACACTGTGCCCCGTCAACTCAAACTGCAAGAAACAGGAGGTATATGGGTGTTTAACTTCACATATACAGAAATGGAACAGCTTTTACAGATTTGAAACAGTCTTAGGAAGTGTCAGTATTTCACCTGAGTGAGTCCCATGCACTTGTTCACGTTTTCAGACATGTAAATCATGTCCCCATCTTCAGACAGAACCATGACAAATCCATCAAGAGCCTTCAAGTAGAAGCAGTTCAGTTCCTTCTCCATTTTGGCTTCTGTCTCCAGCTCACCTGCAAGCAGTCACACATTTCTGTTTAAGTAAACACCACCCATTCTTCACTTACCATCAGAAATTACATCTGGCACCAGTCTGCAAGAAGCCAATCTTGCAGGACCATTCAAAACCAGAATAATTCATTTAGATAAGTGATCAGTTCTTCAAGCTCCAGTAATGGTATCACAAATCACAGAAAACCAGAGTGAAGTTAACCCTCTTTGCTTTTACGCATTAAGCAATAAACCTTCCAACTTAAGGAGAAAATCTATATGGCAAAAATATTACCATTTATCTCAAAAAGGCATTACAAACTTCACTCAGGGTCTTTCTGGGAGAGATTTCAGAGTCTGGCTGCTGAACTTTCTCCTCCATACTTTAAAGGTAGATGTGCATAAGTATAAATAACCAGAACAGCACCCACAGCACTGGTTCATAACCTATCTCAGATACTCCTGTAGTTGCATGGGCAGGTGTAACTGCAGAGACAACACACCCTCAGCTAACTTTGCCTTCAGTGGGGCACAAATCACAAAAGTATTCCTCGCAGTTTATATTAAAGGGATACATCTACAGTCAACTCAGCCAGCCTTGCACCAACTCCCTACAGCTGAGTAAAGCACAGCTGGAACAAGCAAGTGTAGGGGGAAAAGAGGGTTAAACGAAGGAAATTAACTTTGGGAGAAGCACCAAATGTGACTGAAAACGGCACTACAGCTGGGATGAGCCAACCAGGATCACTAGAACAGGACGGGATTCTGCCCCATCATTCCCTTACCAGCATCCAGCAGCTTCCTCATGCGCAGGTAGCTGATGGTGAGCCTCATGATGGACGCCTTGTCCAGGTGTGCGCTCACGGTGTGGGGCAGAGGCAGCTGGTGAGCGAGTTCATAGAACACCTCCGACTCCTTGCTCCTTCGGCACCGGGCTGCATCCCTGGACTTCTCTTTTCTGCGTTCAGAGCTAATCCTAAACAAGCAAGTTTGGGGTTAGCATAGGAAGCAAGAGTTCTCTGTGGAAGTTAAATTTGAAACTAAGCTGCCCAGTGGACAATTAAACCAGTTACTGAAGTTGAATAATTTAAAACCTCAGTTTAAAAGGGTAATTGTATCGAGTTCTGCCGCGGTTGGGCTCTGCCAGGACCAACAGGATCAGTTCTTCAGACAGACATGTATGTACTCAGAACTGTTCCTGCTTATCTCATACCTTCACTGCTGCCTCTCCAGCCTCCAAATCCTGTTTCCTAACCCCTCAAGTCTGTTCAACATACTACAGAGTAGGTTATTTCCAGCTCATGTACACCCTCCAAGTTCATCCTTTTTTATCATCCTTACAAAGCCCACCTCACAAGTCAGATGAACAAGGATACTGATGCAGTATCAGATATCCTGCTTTTCAAGTGATCCAGAAAGCACTTTTCCCAGCTCTTTCCCAACCCACACTATTCTATGATTCTCTGATGATTCTAGGATTCACTCTTTCTCCAGTATAGCCCCTTCCACAGTCTCCCCTATACTGGAAAACTCAGAAAATGCCTCATTCTCCTTCCATTGCCTCTGCAGACTTGCCTCCCCCACAACACGTGAGGTAAAGAAGAGCTCACTGAGAGCAAGCACCAAAACAACTGAGACTGTTGACTGGTAACACGGATAATTCCCCCTTTTCCCAGCACCCACACTGGCTCACATCTGCCTCATGCATCTGTCACATGAGTTTTGAACTAAACATTTTGAGATGGGAGCTCCGAGTTCTTCTTGTCCATTTTTCTTTTTATACATTTATGTCTTCTGAAGGCACCCTATCTCCATTTTTGCACACATCTGAGACACAAAAGACAATTGCAGTTTACTAATTACTTTTTCAAATTTCACTGGACTTAAAAGCCATGTACTATTACTGCCAAATTCACGTAGCTAGGTCTGCAGATCTGTGCCAAAGCACTTTTTAAGTTAGCACACGCTGTGAGAGAGGTACCACAAATTACAGAGCAAGACTATTCATGGGCTAATATTGCCTGGGACATAATGAAACAGGCATAGTATCACCGAATGGTCTGGGATGGAAGTGACCTTAAAAATCATCTTGTTCCAATCCCCTGCCATGGGCAGGAACACCTTCCATTAGACCAGGTTGCTCCAAGTGTTACCCAACCTGCCCTTGAACGCTTCCAGGGATAGGGCATCCACAGCTTCTCTGGGTATCCTGTGCCAGGGCCTCACCAGCCTCACAGTCAAGAATTTCTTCCTAGTATCTAATCTAAATCTCCCCTCTTCAATGTAAGTAGTGAAATACATACCCAAAAGAATACGTTTTCAGACCTTTACCTGATGTCCTACCCACAAGAGCCAGAAACTTTCTTAGTTTGTGCAGAAACATGCAAGCAACAATACTGTTAAAACTGACGTTGGAAGCACGGAATATGAAAGAAACGTTTTTTCTTGAAACATGAAAGAAGCTTAATCATCCATGATAAAGACAGAGTAAGCCATGAGAATCTCCTCTACAATTACCCTAATTTTTTTCCAGCTTCATAAAACTGTATGGCATCCCCACCCATTCCCAATCCCGCTGTCTCCTCCTGCCTCCTGCCCCTGCCAGCAGAAGGAAGCCCTAGCAGCTTGATTTTCATAGTCATAAGTTTTATAAGAGCCAAGAACAGCATGTTTTCTCCTTTGGTGGCAAAATCAGGCTACTAGATCACAGAAATACTACTTTTGTGTAATAAGAAACATTAATATATCAACATCATAATAACAAAGATCTTTGGAAAACTAACTTATGGGAATTATAGTTGTAAAAAACTCTGGACATACAATTGTTCTATTGGTTTCTTTGTATATAAGCTCATATCCTTCAGAAGGGTAGCTTAAAATATCTGACAATATTTCCCCATCTTGCAGATTTCTTCACATTCAATTTCCTTGTGACAACAGATGTTCCTGCTCTAGTCATGGATATCTTGGTCTGAGAAGCTTGAGGCTCCTGACATACAGGTATATCCAGAAAGTGCCATTACGAAAAGTCTGACCTTTAACAATACTGAAAAAATATTTTAGCTATTTAACCTGACTGATTAAACATTTCTTACTGAAGCCAGGGCTCAAGTACCTTTTCTCATGGTGGAAAACTAAGCGTGGAGGTGAAAAAACATCTGGATTCTCTTTGTCCTCTTTCTTGGACCACACATTTTACTGTAAACTCAATTTTGTCGAAGGTACTTCAAGGTAACTGTTGTGGTTGAACCCCAGCCCACAACTAAGTACCACAAAGCCGTCTGCTCACTACCTGTCCTGCGCTGGTGGGAGAGGGAGGAGGACTGGAAAAAGGTAAAACCCATGGACTGACATAAGAACAGTTTAATAATTCAAATGAAATAATAATTGTAATGATAAGGGAGACAACAGAGAGAGAAACAAAACCCAAGACAGACAAGTGATGCACGGTGCAATTGCTCACCACCCACTGACCGATGCCCAGCCCATCCCAAAGCAGAGACCGGCGCCTCCCGGCCAACTCCCCCAGTTTGTACACTGGGCATGACGTTCTGTGGTTTGGAATATCTCTTTGGTCAGCTCAGGTCAGCTGTCCTGGCTGTGTCTCCTCCTGGCTCCTTCTGCATCTCCTTACTGGCAGATCATGGGAAACTGGAAAGTCCTTGACTCAGAGTAAGCACTGCTCAGCAACAACTAAAACACTGGTGTTATCAACATTATTCCCATATTAAATCCAACACACAGCACTGCACCAGCTACTAGGAAGAAAAGTAACTCTTATCCCAGCTGAAACCATGACAGTAGCCCAAGCAATTCTCCTCCCTTAGACAGATTCACCTTTATGCCTCTAATTTTTCTTTGTTAGCCACTCACTCAAGATCCCTTCACCTGCAGAAAGTTCATCCTACAACAGAAACTCAAGGGAGAATTACTGAAGTAACTGGTTTCTATTCACCCAGATGCCTGCAGTTTTGTCATGGCTTCCTTTTCAACTGCAGACACTTTTAAGTTAAACCCCCCTCCTTGCTTTGGCAATGAGTGCACTCCAAGTCCACAGGTTTGTCAGGCTTGTGTGAATCACACAAGGCACGTAGAGAAGGACAACGCAGAGACGAAAATAGACGGTAACCTCACAAACTGGGCTTTCAGCCCTTGTATTTTCTTTCTGACAGCCTACTGTTCTTGAAAGTATTTTGGGTAGCTCCTAGATTTTTGCAAGGTTTTAGCACAATTAGCAGCAGCCGTCAAGAGGAACAGTCAAAGCTCCTCGCAACTGTGGAATCATTAATTACCGACTGAAACACGGCTTAAATCGAGCTCGTAGTGCTTCTGTTAAAAATTATTCCTGCAGTAAGATCCTCAGGTGCTGCCGGCTGGAGCACTGCCTGACTGTGAGACAGGCAAAATCCAAGGAAAAGGGTCCCAACCAGCGCTGTCCAAGCGGCAGCGCCTCCTCTCCCTTTTACTACGTGTTTCCTTTCTAGAAAGGCTACTACTATAGATAGATGTTTAAACTCTACAGCACAACAGTTTGCTATTTTTAGCTGCTATTTAAACCAAAGCTGTAACCAATCTGAGTAAAACCCAGCCATTTAAACAGGAAGATTAACTACCAGCTTCAAAGAGCGTTTCTTTAATGGATCAAATTAATAGGGAAAAGGTCTTTCACAAATGAGGTTTAATTACCAAGTGAAGTCATTGTTGCCTCAACACTGAATGCCACCAAATAAAAAAAAAAAAGGAAAAAAATCCTTTACTGTTGCAACTACTGTGAGCTTTGTTACTTACAGTTGCATAAAGTAAATGAAAAAACACACTTCAGCATATGTAGCTGCCCACAAATTTCTGTGCAGCCAATTAAATGATGTTGAATTCCTGTGAAGAAAATGTATCGCCAAAGTGAGCACGCTCTCAACCAGGGGAGAAAAAAGGAAGCTCAAGGGAAAGGACTTTAAACAGCAAGATGAGAACTGCCACAAAATCAGTTTAAATATATCCTATCACTTCTCTTATCAGTTCTTTCAGAACTGCCCCGTGTACAACTCATGATCTTCACAACACAAATACCATTCTGTAGAAATGGGACCAAGCTCCACTTAAAACAACCCCCAAGCTTGAGATCTGTATTAGAACCTTCTGGTGTCAGTCTTGCACAGAACAAAAACAACCTGAAGAAAATCTCAGCTGAAGTGTGATTGTACATGCAGTGAAAATATCAGAAACACCAGGGCTGGACAGGAAATTGCATGAATTTGCAGGTATCATTTGTCCTGCACAATTCCAGTGCCAGACATCCATTTCCATTTTGTATTTCTGCCACCAGAATAGAGAAGCAGAGAGCAATCCTAAGCACATTATCCCTCGTAACTCACAGAAAGCAGTGTTTCACTGACCCCTTTAAACTCAGTACCAGGCACTTTCTACATATAAGAGAAGTTTACAGGCAATAGCTGAATAAAATCTTAGTTCCAGAAGATATTTGAGTTAGGGACCCAGGATTCACTGCTGCTGAACCAAGAGCTCAAGCTGAAGGATATAACCCAGACTTTCACTCACTGCCTAAAATCAAAAAGGCTTTAAAATACAGTGTGGTGAAGAGAAACAAAGTCTTACAGCAAGAATTAGCCCAACATCCTTCCCAGCAAAGCACACCAGCAGCAATCCCATGCACACCAGTCACAGATGTTAATGTGGCCTCTCTACTTGACTGTGCAGCTCCTGTCATTATGGTCACAGGAACAATTTGGGCCAGAGCATCTCCCAAACAATACATGGTTCCCCACACTATCTCAAAGGTCCCTCTGCCCACCATGGCATATTCCTACAAGTGAATCCCCAAGTGTCTGAACACAGCCCCCAGTTTTTGTCTCCCTGAGTGTAAAATGAATCAATAGCCTATGTATAAACTGATTAATTCCTGATTGTTTACCACTGGTAAATAGATTTAAAAAACAAACAAAAAACCACAAATAAACCAAACAAACTGGAAAATATCACCAGTAACTGATAAACTTCAATTAAAAATAACTGGATTTAAAATGGTCCATTTTGTTTTCTTCTGGCTCTTTTAAATCACCACCCAGTGTTAAGGAAACTTTTACAATGTGTACACAATATTAGATTAAAACAAAAATCAGTGGGTTTCCTGTATGTTGCTTTACTATTGTTACAAATTTTCTAGCTTTTCTCCTCTTATAACGTACTCTTTCTCTAACTGGGTAGATTTTGCCCTATAGGTGTCTTCAATTCCCCTGTAAAATAACTATTGTGAACGTATTAATTAATCCAGGCACATCTTTCTTGATCCAGGTTTTGAGAACATTCTAAAAAATTATAAACATCTGATATCAATTCAAAATTTTCTAATTTAGAATTGTTTTCTCTATCAAGTTTCTTTGTATTTGCAGTATCTGTTCTTAAAGTTTCACAGAAATATACCGTGTGGAAACAATGTAAACCAAATGAATAACATGCCTCAAAAATGGTAACATCTCCTTACCTGAGCTTTAACTCGCTTTCAGGTATGCCATTAATTCCCATCATTTGCCAGCACAACATTCACAGAATCCTTCAATGTTGGGTACAACCTCTCCTCTGACTGTAAAACTAGTATGGGAAATACCTGGCTTAGAAATGGAGTCACAGAGACCATATCCACTATATCATAGCTTCATTTTTTCTTCATCACACAAAAAGAGATGCAGCTATGACAATACAGTAATACATTAACAGTGCATGACACCAAGATGGTATTGGAACTTCAGAAAGTTCCAAAGACCTGGAACGGGCCTTGTATTTTGCTTTTAAGGTTCAACTTGTTCCTGCATTTGGTATAAAACTCGGTCCTGTTCTCAGGCCCAGCTCAATCCAGGTATTTCTGCCAGCACAGCTGTACCGGACAGAGGTGCAGCTCCCAGTTTGCAGCCGTACCCCAGCAGAACACCCAGAGTGACCAGCTGTGTTCATGGGGACTGTGGGAAGGGCTCAGCCCCGGGCATGTCTGTGCCGACTGCTCTCACCTACAGCCAGAGTGTGTTACAACAGAGCTCTGCTCTCTCAGCTGTGCTGAATATGCAGCCGCTCGTTTTTCTTCACTGTTTTAGATCTCTGTTTTGTCCAGAGCTGGATTAAATTATTCCTTCATGGAAAGAAGTCTCAGACAAGCCCTGTGCTTAATACAGAGAAACTAAACCAGTGGAAATGCCCTATTGACAAGTTCATATGAAAAATCAGTTTGTAATGAAAGAGAATAGTACTCTAATTCAATTATTTGGATATATGGGGAGCTAATGCTGCAAGTATTCTTCCAAAGGAAAAAAAAAAACAAGAGAACCCACACAGAAATCCCTCAACTTCCACCTGGCACAGATGAAGAACATGCCAGTTAGTCCCCTTATCCCCTTAAAAATACTTTTCAAATTGAGGCTGATTAACTTCAGTGAGGGAAGACAGAGCTGAAGCATTAACACTACAGAGTTTTGAGATGGATCCACATAAACATAGCCCAGAGACTGGCTTTGACATGGTTTCCTTTTAAAGTATTATTGCTTTGACCATTATGGTCAATTTTGTTTACCAATTCTTCTTATTTTGCTGTCTGTGTAGAGAGTTCTTGTGAGGAAAATACCAAACAAAAGAAACAAAACAAAACTCCCCAAAACAAACAAACAAAAAACTGAGACAAAAAAAAATCCCCCACACCCAAACGTCATGTGTAATCACAAACCCGCGACTGCACGGAAGAAAGTCTTGCTCTTCATGAATCAATGAACATCACAGCCCACTAATCCAACTCAGGAAAAGAACTCAGAAACTCCTTACATACACTAAGAATAATTTAAAAGAAATTTAACTGCAGAAACTAACACAGTATCCAAGCAGAGACAACACCTCTGTATGTAAACTATTAAAATTCATTCATATGTATATTACCTTCCAACTGCAATTTAAAACATTTTCTTTACATGAGGGTAGTTACAGGCATTTACCACTGCTTGACCACCACCAAAAAAACCCTAACTAATAAAAACCCTAACAAATCAGGACAGCAAGCAGGCAGTTCAGCCTGAATCAGCTACAGCAGCACAAACACTCCAAAACCCACTGGCGTTTGCAAAATGATAGTGGGGAGAGGCAGCGAGAGGAGAGTCCACTGGGCTACACATCAACTGCCCCAGTAAAGTGTTACTACCAAGACCATCAAGTCCATATAAACACCCCTTTAACAGACAGGTAAATTATGGCCTAAGAGGCGGCAGCAGAGCCTGAAAGTCCTGACGCCAGCACAGGACCACAGTGACAAGATTATCCATCATGTGGATTCAGCCTTGAATTGACCTGAAACTCCAACTGCCTCCCCACTTACTAAGTGTGAGCAAGAAGGAAAAAGCTTCCAAGATCATAATTTCTAATTCACATCATGGTGAAGTGATCCTGCTGTGCCTCACTGCACAATGTAATCCACTGATAGTTTACCTTTGCATGGTAATTTACTGTTTTAAAATAACCACTTGGCAGAAGTGGTGGTTTGTAAGAAATTTTTTTTTCAGCTAGGTTATTTGGCTTTTTCCTTGAATATATAATTTTTTCTTTCCTAATTAGTTGTGCTTTGCTCTTTGAGATCAAAGATACATGGTAGTTAAATTGTGTTTATTATTACAGAAAAATCAGAGCTATTCCAAAGACATATCTGAG